CTTTCAAAAAATTATTTAAAAAAGTAAAAATGAAAACAAGGATGGAAATTTAAAAGAAATCAGTCCAGTTTAAAGTTCAGTAATTTTACCAAATTCAAAATTCCAATAAAAAGGGAAAAAGAAAAAAAAAACTTCACTTTAACTAGTTTAATTTCACCACTTAAACTCTTTCCTCTTCACTTTTAATTTCACTTTAAATCTTTCAGGATGTTCTCTTCAAGTAATAATAAGTAAAAGTTCATCTCGCTTCAGTCTCTTCCGTTCCAGAGCTGTCCCAGCTTCAGCAGGTAGAACGGCTGCCTCTCCGCTGCCAGCAAAAGGGCTTCTCCTGGATCAACCAGGGACTTTGCGGTGTCCCTGGGATCGACAGGACGTGCCCTAGTCAATCACCATCTCTACGGGACGGTTTAGGTCCATTGGGACCGTCCAGCAGTGAAGATATCGGCGGTGATCTCGGAGAATCAAGATCGCACATTGTACCGCCGCGACACCAGCTCTGCCCTCTCATTCTACTTATTTTTAAGAACTATAACAAGAGAGTCAGTTTTAAAATTAAAGAATGTGTTACATACAATTAAGTTATATTGTAATTGAATGCAAATATATAAATGAGTTTCAAATAAAATTACAGAAATAATAAAATGCATGAAAATAAAGGTGGTAGCACAGAGTATCAGTTGCTCCAAGGAAACAAGAATTAGTCTGATATGTGTGGTATATTATCGTAAAATGTGATCTTATGAAAATGGTAGATTTCCATTGTAATACTGGTAGTATTTAATAACTTACTTCCTCTAAACTGGGGTGGGGAGGTGTATTTTCATTGAATCACCTTCAGGAATACTTCTTTAGGCATTCTTGTGTTAATCATATATTTATAGCTAATATTAAAGGTTCTTAACCCTGGGACATCATGAATTAGAATTTCTATATGCCATTAACACGAACAGTGGGCAGCTGAGATTTCTGGTACCACAGAGATGAATTATAGTTTAGTGAAGTAAATAATGAGCAATTGGAATTAACACTCAGAAGTACTTACATATCTCCTGAGTATTTGCATTTTAGTGTAAATAAGTTTAGGATACTAAATGGTATTTTAAAAAATCTGAGAACATGCAGTTTAAATAACGATAATTTTAAGAGCCATTTTGGTATTATGGTTAAAGGCAGGTGACTATAAACCAGGAAACCTTGAGCTTTACTTCTGCCTTAGACTTGAAGCCAGGGTGCCTACAAAATCTTTGAAATTTGGTAATTTATTCTGCATCTCAGAAAATCACCTTCAAATTTTAGCAGCAGGTCCTATCATGTTGTGATACTAAAAACATGATAGGGCTTGCTGCTAAAATTCGAAGGTGATTTTCTGAGATGCAGAGTAAATTACTTAGTTCCAAAGATTTTGTAGGCATCCTCGCTTGATGTCTAAGGCAGAACTAAAGCTCAAGGCTTCCTGGTTTCTAGTCACCTGCCTTTAACCATAACACCAAAATGGCTGTTAAAAACAACAGTTTATCCATTTAGGAGACCAGCACAATTTGACCTTACATTGAGATGTAATCTGATGGAAAATTAATCAAACAAATATGAATGTCATTAGCAATAGTTTAATAAAATATATGTGCAGCCTCTGGTTGAAATTAACAATTGAAATGATTATTTTCTTTGTTGTTCTAATTGTTTGATTGTTCTCCAAGGTTCAACTTGAATGTATCTTTCCCTGTCCTTGAAATAAAAGAAAATAGATCGTAACCTTCTTGAAAAGTGCTATTGTACATTGGCTTCTTTGCTATCTTCCTCTTCCATCCCATTAAAATTAACTATTTGTATAGTAGCATTGTGAAAGGCTGAAAAATTTAGTGAATAACACTTACTAATGAATTATTTTTGCAAACATTGCAATATTGTTTTCAATGCACATGTTTTAATATACAAAATATACATGTTTATTTTCCTGTAGGTCACAGTAATGAAAGGCAGCAATAGGAATAAAGATCACTCAACAGACGGAGAAGGAACTGGAAAACGACCAAAGAGGAAGTGTCTTCAGTGGCATCCACTACTTGCAAAAAAAATTCTTGACTTTTCTGAAGAGGAGGAGGAGGAAGAAGACGAGGAAGATATTGAAAAGGTAAAATTACCCTTTTGAAAAGTAGAATTAAGAGTGACACCCCTAAGTTTATGTGGATCTTCTCAAAACACAGGTTGTCCTCAACTTATGAGCACAATTGAGCCCAAAATTTATGTTGCTAAATGAGACACTTGTTAAGTGACTTTTGCCCCATGCTACAACATTTCTTGCCACAGTTGTTAAGTGAATGACTGCAGTTGTTAAATTAGTGACATGGTTGTTAAGTGAATCTTGTTTTCCCATTGACTTTGCTTGTCAGAAGGTTGTAAAAGATGATCACATGGCCCTGGGACAGGGCAACCATCATAAACGTGAGTCAGTTGTCAATCATCCAAATGTAAATCAGGTGACCATTGGCATGCTGCAATGTTCATAAGTGTGAAAAATCATCATAGGTCACTTTTTTCAGTGCTGTTGTAACTTTGAACTGTCACAGAATGAATGGTTGTAAGTCGAGGACTACCTGTTTTAAGAAATTAAGCTAATTTATAAATAGCTTTTTTCATATCAGAGCCTGAAAATGGACTGTATACTCAATGAACCATATCTTTAATGGTGTTTTGACAAGCATTTTTATAAGAAATATACTGTGTTTGAAAACGGAAGATATTTCCTGAATCATATTGTGGGATCCTGACTACAACAGATGACCACATTATTCCTCAAATTATATTTGATTAACATATGAAAACACCAGACCTTAAAGCCCTCAAAGTCTTTTCCTTAAAGTTGTGCCACCTTCATCCAAATACTGCTATTAATATCTGATGCTAAAGAGAATGTACAGAGTGAATTTAATTTAATTTAAATAATTCAATTTAGGCACTATCTGATTTTGAATTGATCTTAGCAATAGCACTTAGACTTATATACTGCATAGTGCTTTTCAGCCTAAGCGGTTCACAGAGTCAGCATATTGCCCCAACAATTTGGGTCCTCATTTTACTGACCTTGGAAGGATGAAAGGCTGAGTCAACCTTAAGCCGGTCAGGATCGAGCTGCTGGAAGTTGACAGAATTAGCCAGCAATACTAACCACTGTGCCACCACAGCTCTTGGAGTATAGCCATGTAAATACACAATAAATCCAAACAGAGAAAACTACAAAATAATTATTAAAAAAAAAAAACCAACGGTGGATTTGACTATCACATCCTCACTATATGAAACTGGGAACCACCTATGCATTTTTGGAATGATTTTTTTATTCATTTAGTCAATCAACTTGGACATGCATGGTGTGTTCAATTAAAAGAAAAACACATTAAAATATAATATAGAGTTGCTGGAGATGACTTCAAATAATCGAAAACAGAAACAGACACAAAACTTCTGACTTACTGCTTAGGGATAAAACATAGTCTTCAAAAAGGCAGGCAGGGGTCATCTGAACTTCAGGGAAATCTTGTTCAAACAGAAACAGCAGCAGGCAAATCATGTCTTGTGTCAGATAAACAAAGCTTAAGAAATGGAACCTGGAGTAAGCCCACCCATATCTTACTGGCTAGGCAAATCAAATATTGCAATTATTGTAATATGGAGCTGTTTCTAGAGACCATCTGAAAGCTTCATTTGATACAAAAAGCAATGACCCAGAGATGCGTGGGTACCAATGGGTGCCTACTGCACTTTAAAGTGTTGGTTAGAAAGCCCATTATAGCTTGGCACCAGGTTACCGTCAAAACTATCTCTTCATTGGCATAAATCAAACCACTTTGATCATGCTGGAAAAGCATCTGATTATCCCCCATTTTGGGGAGATTGGTGGACTGAGACTTAGAGACTTTGTTTTTCCGGCATTGGGCTGACCTTCTGCAATGGCCTCTTGCCGTTGTGTGTTTGACACAAATTCTAGTTCCCCCCCAGTTATATTTAAAAATAGACCTTTTCTAAAGGGAATTGGGGAGCTGATGAAAGATGGTATCTGAAATGTATGTTTGTGCATTTTTTCTGTTGGTTTTTGTAGTTTTATTTTTTTTTATTACTGTTTTTTTCACTTTCTGAACTAAGAATGTGCATGTGAGGATATAAATGATAAACTAGAACATTATAGAAGAATGTAGGCGTCTTTAATGTAATTACCTATTGCACCTCAGTATGAAACATCAAAAAGAAGATGAATGATAAAAGTTTGTGGCCTTCATAGTCTATATTTTGATGTTCTGGATATGGAAAATAAAATGAGCATCAACTAGTACAGAGAAGTATATAAAATGTATTAATATAACAGACATCTGGTGAAATTCCTATCATGGATTACAGTGTAATAGTAGAAGAAAAAAGTTTGTTTAAGGGGATTGGAAGCAATAAACAGAGAATTCAAAGTAATGAAATTGACAATATTATAAAGAGTCAAAGTACATGGACAAACACTAAAAGTTATATTTGTTGGTGTCAGTTATCATCCACTTAGTCAAAGCAAATGTGGAAGATTTGTCCAAAATCAAAACTGCAGATCTTTCAAAGAAACATAAAATAATAGAGATAGGAAACTTAACTCTGACAATCTGTTGGAAGACAAACTTTGTCACTCATGGTCCTACAACACTGACAGCAGGAAATGAATTTCATTGGTGTACAAGTAGTTAATGACAACCCATTCAGCAACCATTCAAAGTTACAACTGCATTGAATGGATTGTATTTCTGAGTGGTCCTCACAAGTTCCATCTGTCCCAATAACTCCATGGGCATGTGATCACTTGACAATCAGCTGCACTGAGAATTGTTACAGTATCCCATGGTCATGTGATTGCCATTTGTGATGTTCCCTGCTGGCTTCCCACAAGCAAAATCAATGGGGAAAGCCTACACTTGTCAGAAGTTGCTCTGGTAAGTCTCTTCCACCCAGCGGCAGCCACCTCTGACATGTCTCACTGGCCATCTGTTCATGCCATGTCTCACTGGGCACTTGCACATCTTCCTTTACCAAGAGCAGCAATCCTTGGGCTGACCTCACTCATTCCTCACCAGCCATCTGCCAACCATCCAACATCTGGCAGTAGCCTTCCCTAGCCCTGCTGCACTTATGCCATACTGCCAAGCCTCTCCCACCTGGCAGCAATCACTTCCTGCCCTCCAGATTGCTTGCAATCCACCTGGGGCTTGCAACTTCCTGCCTGCTTTGCTTGTTGGAAGCCATCAGGAAATTGTGAATTTAATTGCCAGGATAGCTTCATGCTTTATAATACATCACTTATTGGTAGTTCCTTCCAACATTGTTGTATGTTCCTCTTAAGGTAAGTAGTTAATGTTAATTCAACCTGGCCAGATCCTATTATTCTCGTTAATATATTGTTTTTTATATATTTTTCAATTTCACATAAAATATTAAGGAAGCTAATTTTAACAGTTATTTGTTAATGAAATTAGAATAAATTATCTTACTTTTTAATTCCTACATTTCATTATTTAAATACGTTCCACTCAAACCAGGTTAGTAATATAAAAATGGATTGCCTTTGACCAACCTATGTACATACGCACCTGCGTAATATGAAAAGCATATATATATATATATATTTGCCATTTGTCTCTGTGTGTGTGTGTATGTGTGTGTGTGTATGTATATATATTTTCATAGATTTTCACAGGTACAGGTATGTAGGTCTAGGTGTGTTCGGGTCTTTTCCCGTGAAAGATTAAGAGTATCTTGGCAACGTTTCAGCAAGGTCCTACTCGCCATCCTCAGGCTGGTGCTTTCAGCTTTGTGCCAGTGCAAGCAGTGTATGATCGGAGCTGCCGTCTCTCTATAAATACTGGTGTGGGGGGCTGGTGTGCTGGGCTAGTTGGCTGCTGGGCTGGTTGGCCTCTTGATTGGTTGATGGAGTTGATGTTGGTATAATGGGCTGTGTGATGGCCTTGTGAGTTTTGTTGTACAGCACAAGATCCAGGATATCTCCACAACAAAGGCCATCACACAGCCCATTGGGTAATGGGTTGTGTGATGGGCTTGCAAGTTCTTTTGTTGTGGTATCCTGGGTCCTGCGTTGTAATCTCCTGGGTCGTTTGTGTTTTGATCTCTTTTCCATTAGCCTCCTGTGTAGTAACGACTTGGGTAATGGGTTGTGTGATGACATGAGATTTATTGCTGTGGTATCCTTGGTCTTGTGCTGTTATATCCTGGGTCATTTGCTGTGTTGCAACTTCTTGAGTTCTTGTGGTGTAATTTCCTGAGTTTTCTGATGTGATGTCCTGAGCAGGTGGCTGTGATGTAGCATTCTGGGTTTTAGTCTGGCTTTGAGTTTGGGGTCTGGGTCTGTTCTTGGCGTGTGTCAGCTTGTTTGGTTTTGGGGTCGGTGGGTGCGACAGCTGGCGAAGCAGCCGTGGTCTGTTTTCTGAATGGTGGTTATCCTTCGTTTATAGGATGGGCTTGGGCCTGGGTCTGATGAGGGGGGTTGGTGGTGGTGTCCCGTGTTGTTTTGGGTCTGGTGTTGGTTTTCGTGGCTGGGACTCGTTTGTTGGTGAGGGCTAGCTTCCAGATGTCTGGTAGGCGGGAGGTATCATCCCGTCTATTCATGTTGTGGGGGGTGTTTCTCTATCTCAATGGCTTCCCTGATTATTCTCTTGCTGGAGAATAAACGACCCAGCAGATTACAACGCAGGACCCAGGATACCACAACAAAAGAACTCGCAAGCCGTTAAAACACGAGAGGCTAATGGAAAAAAGATCACTACAAAACAAACAACCCAGGAGATTACAGCACAAGATCCAGGATATCTCCACAACAAAACTCACAAGGCCATCACACAGCCCATTATACCAACATCAACTCCATCAACCAATCAAGAGGCAGCAGCACAGCCAACCAGCCTAGCACACCAGCCCCCACCACCAGTATTTATAGAGAGACGGCAGCTCCAATCACACACTGCTTGCACTGGTACGAAGCCGAAAGCATCAGCCTGAGAGGATGGCGAGTGGGACCATCGCCAAGATACTCTTAATCTTACACGGGAAAAGACCCGAACACACCTAGACCTACATACCTGTACCTGTGAAAATCTACGAATACACACAAACACACACACACAGAGAGAGAGAGACAGGCAGACAGACAGACATATGGCAATTACAATAGTTAAATGAGTTAGAGGGAAAGAAAGGGAAGGAGAGGAGAAGGGGAAAATATTAAAAAAATAAAAGAAATGCAGTTTCATTGGACACTAATCCTTATTGGAGGGGGGGAATGGGAAAGGGAGGAGGAGAAAGAAGAAGAAGAGAAAGAAGAAGAAATTTACTGTAACCAACATAATATTTTATATTATTTACTTAATTAATTTATATATTATGTCTAGTATCAAAGACTTCATACTCTTAAGCTGTCTAAAGTGGAAGATTTAAACATCTTAGTGGAGAGTCTGTTTAAGGAGAAAAAAATTGTTTTTGTTCTTGGATACAGACATATTTCTTTACTTCGTGCCAGTGCAAGCACAGTATCAGAACAAATAACTTATGGATGTAATAAATCCTTGTCAGTAACATTCTTTACATGTTATATTTTCTTCATTGTAAAATAGATCCAGATTCTGAGTGCTGATGGTCTTGATCATGATGCTGATGAAACAGAAGATGAGGAATCTTCAGAACAGCGAGCTCGCAGACCAATGAATGCATTCCTTTTGTTCTGCAAACGTCATCGTTCCCTTGTCCGGCAAGAACATCCTCGTCTGGACAATCGTGGTGCTACCAAAATATTGGCAGATTGGTGGTCTCTTCTTGAGCCTAAAGAAAAACAAAAATACACTGACATGGCCAAGGAGGTATACAATAACAGGATCAATAGGTCTTTAAATTATATATTGTTCATTTTCTTGATATGATAATATATTTGTTTGATTTATGCTTCACTTTTCTATTCAGGAAAATCCTAACAATTACAAATCAAAGAATAGTATATAAAATTAAAAACTACAACTTAAAGTTAATAGTGAAATAAATGATAAATTTATGTATTAAGTAAAAGTTAAAAGTGGCAAGCAGAGTGAAGACAAACAAAAAAATTTCAGAGCTTCCATTCCACCCTCTTTGGTTTATTGCTCTACCCACTTTGGCCCTTGCTAGACCTGTATAGCTTTGGTGGAGGCTCCCTCCACTTTTATTTGAAGGACATCGTTCAGTGAAATATTTTAATAAATATCAAAATAAGGAATTGGCAATGACAAGAATTGTGTAAGTAATGATCCATTATTCAACCAAATAAAGTATGTTAATAAGCTATGTTTATTATTTGTTTAAAATTTTGCAAGAATATGATATGCTTGAAAACGTAACTATATTTTATGAGCTATTTAATTCCTCCCATAGAGGTTCTCCTACCTTTGCATAGAGTTAATTTTCAAAGACAAATGTCAACAAAGGTGTTTTTGAGTTAAGTATAAAATATAAGATTATACTTAGATAAGATGATTCTCCAGTTATTCAGGAATTATATCACTTATATCACTAAGTTCTCTTCCTTAGCAGTGCATTTACAGGATAATTTAGCATTATTTCAAATAGTTTTACTATGCAGTCCTATTCTTAGAAAAGGATACAATAGAAAATGATAAATACCTATTTGTTTTTGAGCCATATATAGGTAGTCCTTGAGTTACAACTATAATAGATCCTTTCCATTAGAGTTACAAGTGGTGATGACCATTAAGTAAGGTGATTTTGCTTAAGGATCCCCACCTGATGCAGCTATTCAATAAACTTGTAGGTCGTTAAGCAGAGCACACGATCTATCAGGGTAGGCCCTTGGAGGTCTAGTGCAGTCCCAAGCCTGCCTTCTCTGGAACTCCAAGGTCTCCACCACCACTTCTGACACGCTCTGCTTGTCATCCCTTGGGACCCCATGAGTATTGCCCGATCCCCACCCCACTGTACCAGGCCCCACATTCTCTTCCTCACTTCTATTTTGAAGATTTCTGAGCCTCATGTTGGGGAAAGAGGACAGACCACATGACTCTGTGCCATGTTTTTCCAGAAGAGACTATCATTTTCATTGCACCTGCAATTGCTTAACATAGTCTGCCCAGGACTGCAGAAAGCTTCTGCAAAATATCTTAAGGATTTGCAGGTGCACTGAAAATGTTTGTTGCTTGAGGGAGGAAGCCATACATGGCACTGGGATGCGTGGTCTTCTTCTCCAACATGAGGTCCAGAGATCTTCAAAAAATAGCTGTGCAATGGCTAATGGGCATGTGCAGAAAAAGCCAAAGCCTGGGTCCCAGTGGGGAAGGATGGGAACAAAAGAGGTGGAGTGATGCAGCAGTGTCCCTGCGGTCAATTGTAAGGGCAAATGTTCCCAGAGGCACTGCAATGGCCATAACTTCAAAACCGGATTATATATGGCTTTTAGGAAGTCTGTCGTAATTTTGAATGACAGTTAAGTGACTGGTTGTATCTCAATCTGTAATGAGATATCTGTAATGAAATTAGAAGTATCTGTAATGAAATTAGGAGACTGATGATTAAAATATTGACAATGAATTAATTGAAGAAATGAAGTAGATACATGAAACACTGAGCAGTAAATTACATATTAGGGATAATGTAATGTAATAGGAAATTTATCTTTGATGAACAAAGCCTTAATTCATGGGGCAGGAAATTATTGTATAATATTTCTATAAAAACATACGGTTTAAAAGCTGTTAAGAAGGCCGAAGCCTACAGTACAGTACTATGCCTCTCATGATATGAGTCTAAAAGTAAGTTCCACATTTTCTATTGAAAAGAAACAATATGACTAAGTGTTCAACCCAGTAATGTTCATTCCAAGAATGTGTAAGAAACATTCAATTAAACATATAATTTTTATTCTTTATGTGGTTTAAGAGTATAACAGCAGTAATTAGCAACAAAACTTGCCATTGAGCCTCCTTAACATTTCTTTGTTCTACAGCAAGAAATATACATAGAAAATAAAGGTTTGTATTTTCAGTGGCATTCCTTATTTTAGGGAAAGTTTGTCTTTGTTATGATGTGTATAGGAAGGCATGACACATTTATTTCAGGGAGCAGCTCTCACTTCAGTATGGCAATTTTCAAATGGCCATGGGTGGACTGCTTGTTTGATGGCATAAATGATCTGTTAACCTAAAACTAATCCGTTTTTCTCAAAAAAATATGCTGTGCTTTAAAGTAAATTATCTGTTCTTCTCATAGTATAAAGATGCATTTATGAAAGCAAATCCTGGCTACAAATGGTGTCCACCTACAAACAAACCTGTGAAAGCTCAGTCACCCACAATAACAAATCGAAAAAAGCTTTGGGCTTTCCCATCAGAAGTTACAAAAGATTTGCCTAGTCCAAAAAAGCTGATGAAGACAGAAGAAACCCCTCAGCTGAATTTTGCAATGGCAGGTAAGTTTGTCAACCCCGGTCTTACAAGCTCACCAGAAGGATGCTTTGAGTTGTGGCTTTTACTTGTGGAAAACAAAAACAAAAAAAAAATGACTAAGTCCCCTTCATATATTCATCTCCCAACATTAAAACCTTCCTACATTAGAATAAAGGCATATTTAGTTTTGCATTTCATTCACATAGTGTCTAACTGTGGTATCTTCCTGAGCCATCAGTATAATAGTAAATTTTTTATTTCCCTTGTTTTTCAGAAGATGTCCTCAAATATTATGCTGATTGCAAGTAGTTGCTTAATCAGTTATTACTGAATCCTGTCATTCTTGTTCCTGGAGGGGGAGGGGGGTAATTATGTTCTTCTGCCCTACTCCCATTGGAGAAGACTTAGAATGCCAAATTATAGCAGCTCCTAAACAGTAAATAACTTGGAATGGTACTCCATATGAAGTCTAAACAGTACCAACTTGTTGGCTTTCAAGATCTGGCTGTTTAAAAAGCCATTAGGAGAATGGTTGTATGGTGAGTCCTCCACCACATGGGCAATAGTTAGTGTTCGGATTGTTTCCTGTGGTGTATCAATGGCTTAGATTAGAAGTTGATTGTTGTTAGGCTTAGATTTAAAAAAAACGTTATAATTTATTTTGAATGTTTGCACATTTTGTAAGCTGCTCAGAACTATTCTGGAATTAAATTTCAGTAATAAAATATAAATAAATATCTATACAATTTGCAGGTCATATCGGTATCTTTTTGGTAATTTATTTGTCATAATAAATATGTTATTGTATATAGAGTGATTTTTTAAGGTATTCTGATTCATTTTTCTTAACATGATCTTCTATTTTTTAAAAGTAAATACCTTGTATTACAAGATACCGAATATCTTGATTCTTTTTTCAGTTAAAGGAATCAAAATAGCTGTATGGTTGTTTATGTAGGCGTATAAACACACACACACACACACACACACACACACACACACACACACACACAAAACCCCTAACAGTTTTCTTCAGGAAAAGACAAAATCCATTTTTCCCAACATATTTTGAGATACCTTTCTTCTAGGTTAAGATATGCAGTTATTACAGGTTCCTTCACTATTAAAGCTCCAGATGTTTAAGGCAATATGTTTGTCTAAACTATTTCTAAATAAATATTTTGACTAAAATGTTTCCATATATAATTTCTTTTCTGTCAGATCCTACGCAAATGGGAGGCCTCAGCATGCTACTGTTAGCAGGAGAACATGCCTTGACTGCACAAGAAGTAAGTAATTATCTTTACTGTTTAATTATTTCTTTAAAAAAAGAAAATGTTTAATAGGTTACATTACTACATAATGTAGTTTCACAGCTATTCAAAATGTCTGCATCGTTTGCAGTTAGCAAGAGTTGATCAGTGGTCAAAAAGTATATTTCTATCCAGAATGATGGTTTAGAACTCAAAATGGGGCTTTCCAGATTTCAAAGGATTTAATTAAGATTCATTACATTTAATAACAAGTGAGATTCTGAAACAAAATGTGCATGTGAAGAATTTTTGTTTCAAGCACCACTAGCTGCATTCCATTTCTATTCCTCAAACCATTGAGGAACCCAACTATTTATTTCTTTTTATCTGTTCCATACAATTGCCCCACTTGTTTTGAGGTATTTTCTTCCCCAGTCGGTAGTTCATAGGCAAACTGCCATATCCACTTGCTGGATTAGCTCTGTATTCAGATAGACTGAAGGAGCAGATCAGAATGTGAAGATTCCCCTAAACTCAAGCAGCAGATGGGGCCTGGGGAGCCATGGCCAGGGGAGCCTTTGAATACCTTCAGCTGTTGGACGTGGAAACTAGCAAGGTCTTACAAATCAGGCACTTATCGCTATGCAGATAAAATATTCCACACTTCCTAGCTGGAACTGCCTTTAAAGATAATTTGGAAACTACTGTTGTTCAGTGTATGGTGGCTTGATGGTTGGTGACAATAATCCATTGAATAGTACAATGCACGTGCTAAAGTTCCTGCACGTGTTTGAAATAGTTTTCCAGATCAAGTTCAAAGTGCTGGCATTAACTTACACGTCCCACGTGGCTTGAAACTAATTAAACCTGGCTTGCTGGCTTATTGTAAAACAGTTAAATCGTTTGTGATTTAAGATTCATTCAGAAGATATATGGCCTTTTTTTCCTTTGAATTTTGATTGATTATATTCTAGTTACAATTTTTATTTTAGATGTTTATGGTTTATAGAAGATGGAGAAATTGAGTTTTTTGAATGACTGCTGTGCATTTTAGTCTATTTTGAGTCTTTGTGGATGGCCATTATATGAGCAAGTATTGTAGTGTTTTCTTTACAAGACAGTTTTTCTCCTTTTGTTTCTAAAGAGTTTGTTATTTAAGAGAGATGTTAGCTGCTTGAATTCCGCATTGAAACATGCAAATTGCCATTTACATTAATCTTGGAAACACTTAGAACATTACTCAATATAAAGCAAAAATTGAATCTTTTTCCAACCAAAGCAATTAATATAGGGCAGTGGTGGCTAATATTTTTGGGTTTCTATGCCAAAATTTGTGTGCATGCTTACACACTCACACTCGTGTGCCAGCACCCAGAAGGCAATGCATGCCTTCTATGCATGCACACGTAATCCCCACCCACTCCCCACCCACTCCTTACCTGCACTGTGCCTCACAGCTGATTTTCGGCCGGTTTAAGGCCTTTTTCAGCCTCCCAAAGGCTTGAAGAAGGTTTCTGCAGGCTTTGCAGGCCAAAAACTGGCCCCGTTTTGTCACTTCTGATATTTTCAGAAAAACAGGAAGTGATGAAATGGGGCTAGTTTTTGGCCTGCAGAAGCCTTCCTCAAGCCTTTGGGAGGCCGGAAAAAAGTCTTCAAGTCCTTGTTTAACAACAATAATCTAGATTGGTAACTTTGTTGCTAAGTGCTTTGGTAGTAAAGTGTGACATCATATGCTTGTGCCAACTTATGCCAGCAATTGTAGTTGCTCTGTTTGCCATTATTTAGCAAATCCTGTGCAGTCATTAACTGCTATGTCACATGATCACAATTCACAACCTCTTTCTGGCATAAATGGCAATCATAAGATGCTGTGACTATTGTAACTGCGAGTCAACTGCTAAGCACCAGGGATGGGATTCTCCAGGTTTAACAACTGGTTTGGTGATCATGCAATTTGCGTGCGATCATTTAAGTAACACAGCTAAGAAGTGGCCGATTGTACACTGGCAGATAGGACAGCACTCCAAAGGGTTAATGTCATTGCCCAGAGGATCATTGGTTGCCCTCTCCCCTCTTTAGAAGAGCTTTATAACACAGCTGAGAAGTGGCTCAGGAATCTTCCATGATAAACACTAGTTTGTCAGCAAATTCTTGCAATTTAAAATTTTCTTTTTTAATTTCTAACCCTTTTATCTGAGGCTCTTGCCGAATTATCCTTGCTTAATACTTCAAGTGTAAATATGAATAATAACGATGAGAGTGGGCACCCTTGCCTTGTGTCTTTCTGTATATTAAAGTTATTTGTCGCTTCTCCGTTTATTATTATTTTGGCTTCTTGTTTTGAGTATATTGCCGTGATTATGTTTAAGAAATTTTCGCCAATGTTCATATATTTTAATTGCTGTAATATGAACATCCAATTAACATTATCAAAGGCTTTCTGAGCATCAAGAAATAGTAGTGCTACTTGACATTTGCTATGTGATTCATAGAATTCAAGGATATCCAAGACTGTCTTTATATCGTGTTTGGTTTGTTTTTTCGGCAGAAAGCCATTTTGGTCACTATGGATAAATTCGTTTAGGTAATTTTTGAGTCTCTCAGCTATAATCTTGGTGAAAATCTTGTAGTCTGTGTTCAGGAATGATATTGGTCTATAATTTTGGATCCGTTTCTGGTCTGCATCATCTTTTTGTATCAGTACAATGTTGGCTTCTGTCCAGGATTTTGGTATTTTTGCCTCCTATAGGACTGCATTAAAAACTTCCAATAGGGGTTGGCTCAGAATATTTTGTTGTTCTTTGTACAACTCTGCCAGTAGTCCATCTGGACTGGGCACCTTATTGTTTTTTTGTTTGTCAATTGCCTTGGTAATTTCTGACATTCAAATTCTTATCATGTGATGCAGAAATGTTGCAGTGGCTACCACTGCAGGGACCAATTACAAGTGTTCTTCAGCACCAGCATAACTTCAGTGTCTGTATGGCTAAACAAGGACAACCTGTAGATGCATTGTTAATTCAGTGTTTTCATGAATGGAAGCCTTCATCCACGAATTTATAGAAGATTAAGAGAATTTGTCAGCATAAATATTTTCTCTAAGCATTTATGCCAGCTTAAGTACAGGCAGTCCTAGGATTATAACCAGTAGGTCAGCAAATATTCAGAGTTACAACAATGCTGAATAAATGGTACTTATGACCAGTACTCAAAGTTCCATTCATCACAGTACCCAACAGTCATACGATTGCAATTAGGGCACTTAGCAATCAGTACACACTTACAGTATTTGTAATATACTGCAGTCATATGATCCTCCTTTGCAACCTGCGCTACCAGTTTCCTACTAGCAAGGTTAGTGGAAAATACAGCAGGGAAGATCACAAGTTGTTTCTGGAAGCTGATCTTGCAGCTTTTTCTTTAGGAGCCCCACTGTGAAATAAGGACAAGATCCCAGGGACCTCATAAGCTATAGCACTGCCCTGCCAGCCTCCAGCTCTGGCTCACCCACAATCATTACCAAGCTACCATACCTCTGCTGACCTATCCATACTCTGTCACACTGGTCCACAATCCCCTCAACACACCCATGCTCTGTAGCACCCCCTTAGCTGTCGCATCCACAGCCCCTTCACATCCCTGCACTCATTGTTTGGAATTCTTACCTCCTCCTGCTTAATGACCCATATGATCCTGGAGTGACAATGACAACCGGTATTGCTGTTGCTAAGCAATGCAGTCATGCAACATCATGCTTTATGATCACATCACTGAATGACAGAAATTCCAATTCCAATTGCCTGAGGACTTCTCAGGAAACAACAACTGAATGAAAAACTGCTGGTGACCTTCTACCGCTGCACCACAGAGCATATTTTAAGCTATTGCACCTGTGTATGGTTTGTTGATTGCACAGTGGCAGATAGGACAGCACTCCAAAGGGTTAATGTCATTGCCCAGAGGATCATTGGTTGCCCTCTCCCCTCTTTGGAAGAGCTTTATAGTTCCTGCTGCCTTAAGAAAGTTCAAAACATTCTTAAAGATCCATCTCATTCTGGGCACCCTTTTTTTGAACTATTATCATCTGGCAGATGATACAGGATAATAAAAACAAGGACAAATAGACTGAAAAACAGCTTCTCTCCCAGGGCAGTAACTATATTGAATTCTACTGTATAGTGCAATATTAATGCAATATTGGGTTTTCAATTCAGTTGTATAGAATGTGAAGGATGTGTGTTTGTGTTTATTTTTATAGTTATAATGTACACTGAAGATGGCATTTAATTTCATTGTGCAAGGTGAAATGACAGTAAAATAAAGTAAAGTAAACTATAGTAGAGTAGCAGTACTGTAATGCTATCACAGTTCCATTTAGAAAATCATATTTCTACAAAGTTCTAAGAATTTAATTGTAGATTGAAGGCACTTCCTAAAAACCTCATAAATATATTGCAGAACAATGCCTATGATTATCATCTTTTCTAATCTTTCCTAAACTTTAGTCTTTTTAATTAGAAAAAATTAGGAGAAAATATTAATAGTGTTAGAGTAGAAAAAAGCACTTTTCCATTCTTAATTTTCATGTGTATTTCATTGGTAGAGATTAAATAGTATTGTGTTCCCATTAAGAATATATTTTATGACAATTAAGCTAATTGTAGTAATGATTATCTGCTAAACAGTTTTATGGATATTGACAATTACTAATTTTGCTTAGCTTCTTATAAAAAACTTAATTATAGGGAAGCTGTCTCGTGTAGCAAAAAGCTGTGAATGATTTAGATGCTTTTTAATGTTTGTACCTGATAATGAAAATGAACAATCAATGCAGTTATGTGACAAAAAAATTTAAGTACAAATTGCACCCTTTAGATTATAAAATGAAATTTAAATGAAATGAAAATGAAAGTTCTGATTGCTGTTTTACTTTTATTCCTAAACCACCTTTCAGTTTTATGGTAGAATGGAAGATAATCATTGTTTGCTCTTTAGTGTATTTGTATATGAAAATCAGAAAGTTCTTTGCATTTAGTCTTCCTGAATGCGATTGCAACCCTTATATTATCTCTACTCATTTTTGTTGGGAATTCCTATTTCTGATCTCATGTTTGTTTGTTTGTTTGTTTGTTTATAAAATTCTTTTAGTATATGAGGAACCTTGTCTTTTATCTGTTCCTTTTTCTTCAAGTTAGACTCATATATGTATCTATCCTAATTTAAAATACTTTTGGTTTATTCATCATTTGCTTGTTATTAATATCTTCCTTTTATTTTAAGAAGTTTCTATTTTTCTTTATATATTTCTTAAAAGCCAAGAATATTCAGATTTTCTTTGCTGTCCTATGTTGTTGGAATATACTACTATGGCTATTGAAATGTTTTTGTTAATTTTGGTTAAATCAACATTTCTACTGCAAGTCTTTTGGCTTATAATTTTTATGACTGTTGTCTTTTATTCAATTTCTCTTCAGATAGGTATTATTCTCTTCTCTCTCTCTCCCTTCCTCCCTCCCTCCCTCTCTCTCTCACACATACACATTTTTCCTTTTTTCCAGTATATTGTAAATCTCCAAGAAAAAAGTTATTGGTCTTATATATTGTTGAATTTTTTTGATTATTTGTTCAATCCTTAAATTTTCCTTTTTATATTGTTTACTTTAGGTTTCTTCAAATACATGTCATTCTGATTCCCCTAATTCTATTGAAGGATGTCTAAACTCAACAATGTTACAATTTGCTGAGGTAAACTCCTTATAATGACCATTTTTTGTTAAGTGATATAGCAACAGTTTATAACTACTGAAAAATATTTCCTTAATGGAATACAATTTAATTCCATGACAGCCTTAGTTATCATGCAGTTATTACTTCTTGTAAATAAAGTAGTATTGGATTCAGATTGGAAAAACTATTTTTTTCAAAAAAAAATTTAATCCCACCTTTATATTACTTGAGTTATTATTAATAACCCAAGGCAGCGATCATATCCAATACTCCTTTGTCCTTCTATTTTTTTTTTCTACAAAAATAATTTTGTGAAGTGAGTAGGGATGAGAAAGAATGACAGGCCTTAAGTTACCCAGCCAGCTTTCATGCCTAAGGTGAAACTAGAACTCAGCTGGTTTCTAGTCTGGTACCTTAACTGCTAACCATTATTCGAGTGCTTCTAAACATTTAACATGCAATATGAGATGCATAATTTCATTCAGCTAATAGAAATATTCAGTTAAAATCTTTGATTTAATAAAAGCCTGTTGAAGACTATTTTTGCTATTCCCTATTTGTCTATTTATGAGGTTGGGTTTTTTGTAAGATTTTCATTGTGAAATTATATCATTTTTTTTAAAGCTACTTGCTTTGGAAAATGGTTTATTCATATTCCTTATATGCTCGTACATGCTACACAATCACTTTCATTCAGTTGGGCAGCTTCATATATTTGATAAATAAATAATGCTCAATTATAATGTGGCCACAAATATCATTTATGTTATATGTCGTTTGAAAAATAGACTGTTAATAACCTTGAAAAAATACTTTTCCATTAGATTTCTTCAAATCTGCCAAAGGGAACTGTTCCTGAAAATCCAAAAGAAAGTGATGAATCAACTCTACTTCAGTTCTCAGAGGTAAAACTATACTATTATTTTTTACAAAGGAGATAAAATAACTCTTAATTTTGTAAAAATATCATGTAGCTGTATATGTTATATTTTGTTATATATGGTTTTAATCCCAATTACACATTGGATAGTTATATACTGCTCAAATCGAGGATTGGATTAGCAATATAAGAAAAGAATGCAATTTAATGTGCAGAATAATCTTCACAGCAAGGGCATGTCACATATTGATTCTAGCACTGATCTGAATGCAGGTAGTCTTTATTTAGCAATCACAGTTGGGACCAGCAACTCAGTTGTTAACCACGACTTTTCTTATCATCCTACATTATTTTTCCTTGTTTTATAGACCCACAAATGTTGTAAATGCTAGAATTAGTTGTTAGTTACTTTTTCAGATCCTTGTAGTTGCAAATGGTCAGTTACAAACGAGGCTGTCACTAAACATGAGCTATAGTATTATCTTTTGATTTGAGTATTTGTAAATTACTTGTCTGATGTAATAAATCCAAATAATATGTTGAATTGTAGTTCCCTCTCCTTGAAGTTACTGAGAAGTATTGTACCAGTGGTACTGTACTTCTAGTATACATATACAATATCCATTCGTTATGTATATGTTTAATAATTCAGAGACAATCAAAACAGTAGTCAGGATTCTGAATATCAGTGAGAAATATGCTTTAATTCTGCATATGTAAAACTTTGTTCCATCTTCACATATTTTTTCACATTTTTATCAGTCTTTTCCCTATTTTACTATTTCTTGCACATTTTTCTTATTTCCATACTTATCTAATTTTAAGATCAGTGGTGGGATTCTACCAGTTTGGGTGAACCGGTAATAAAAAATATTACTGTTTGGGCGAACAAGTAGTAAAAAAACAGCTACCAGTTCAGCTGAACCAGTATTTTTTTTCCTCCTGATGATCAGCTGTGCAGGGATCCTCTTCACTGTCTTACTGCTTCACCCATGAGGCTTCCCTGAGGCCCAGGAGCAAAAAGGGGCACATGGGGGGTGCCCATGCTCCATTTTTTGCCTTCCCAGGCCTCAGGGAAGCCTTCTGGGAGCAAAAACGCCCCCCAGGAGGCTTGCCTGGGGCCCGGGAGGAAAAAAAATGGAGCAGGAAGGGTGCTGCACAAAAAAAGAGAGAAGAAGAAGCCATGCCACCCAGTGACATGGCCATGCCCACCTAGCCACTTCCACCTAGCCATGCCCACAGGACCGATAGTTAAAATATTTGCATCCCACCCCTATTTAAGATGGCAAATTTCTAATAGCATCAGTTCATTATTTCTCATTTAATAGTATGCAAATAGTATGCATTTACAAAAATTATAAAATTCTTACAATTTTATCAAATGTATTATAGCATCTCAGAACCAATTTTGAAATGAAAAGATCAAAGGCTGACTACTAATTTTTGTATAAGAAAAAAAAATTACTTTTCCATAATCATCTGTTTCTTTTTAGAATATCAAAGGTGAAAAAAAGGAAAGCATGGTTGATTGACTGATGAAACCAGGGATTGATTGTAGAATAAACCATAAATTTCTCATTTGTAAATTTCCAATTAAGCTAAAGCAGCAGTCAGCTAGTTTCCACAATATGATCTTGTGTGTCTACCTATCATTTTTAAAGAGAGAACCAAAATTACTTCGAAATCCTGAAACTTTTTGATAGGGGTTCAGAAGAATTGTGAAAAAAATGAGACATTGAAAGGCACCACCTGTAGAATCTTGGAATCTACAGTAAAATTGTAACTTTTAGGATAACACTGATAGGAACAACACAGATTATGCTAGTACTGCCAGAATAAAATATCCTAAAAGGAATAAGTTTTCCATGTATGTGTTATTTTTCACTTAAAGGACTTAATTCCTTTCTGCTTATTTTATAATTTGTATATCTTTGCTTCCAGTTGAAGGGCCCTGAGTCAATCAAGCACTGTAGAAAATCAGCACTCTTCCAGTTGGCTGAGGTAATTTTGTTTTATTAATTTTATGATCTTTGGAAAAAGAGGCACCAGAAGTATATTCCAAAGGGTACAGTTGAGAATTGTCTATGTTAGCGCAGATCACCCCAATTATTAATGTGATGTAACTTATTTTTAGAACACAAATTGATTTTTTATCAGATCACGAATCTTAAATCTGCCTGTAAAATGCTTTTACAGGTAGTAAGAGAAGACAGGTATTAATAGATTCAGCAAAAGTTTTACCGATCTGTCTTTTCCATAATATATGAAAGGTAGATAGATATATAGAAACTGCAAAACATTGATCATCACTTTCAAGCATACACCACTTCTTAAATGGTATTTTAAAAATATTGGATTCCAGTGATGTTACATTGTTTTGCAACCTCTAAACAGAATCCCAATCCCATAAATTCCTATAAAACTTTCATGTTTCTAGAAATCTGGAACTGAAAATAATACTCTAGGTTCTGAAAAGATGCTTTAATTTATATACAAGTTTGTAACAAAAAATGCAAGTATAATTCTTCAAATATTACTTCATTGTATACCAAGCAACATATTCTGTGAAAGAAAAGAGAGTTTTCATGTGCAGCTAACTAAAATAAATATCAATATTATTCCCACATAAATTTCTAAAATATTCTTTTCAACATTTTCTAACTTCAAGTTCGTTTTAGATCATTTCCTCAGTTTTACTTCTATTTCCATTCACTTCATTTCAAATTATTTTATCAGTGTTATTTTTGTCCTCATTTACTCTGTTTACAGGTTCTTGGTTTAGTCCCCTTCATTTTTTCCAAAAACGTTTTATTTGCATCAAAATTCTTTGTTCAGTGCCTTTTGCAATGTTCTTTGCAACTATATTTTCATCTATATCTAAGCATCCTTGCCTTACTTCTGTGGCACTTTGTAACATAATTCCTTTCATTCTGTCCCAAGTACTGTATTTTTCAGAGTATAAGTCACACTTTTTCCACCCCCAAAAGTGGGTAGAAATGTCTTGTGTGTTATACAACAAATGTTGCTGAAGCCCTGCCCACCAGCCCCCACTCTTTGACATTTGCCTCCTTGCAGCAAACAGCAAATAGACTGTTTCAGCTTCAGGACAGTCTGATTATCACAAGCAGCTGATTGTCAGTTGGATCGACTTCCCGACAATTGCCATTGCTATTGCTGCCTCCATACATCCCATTTTTGGCCTCTGCATGCCCCATTTTCTGCCTCCACACACCCCATTTTCCGCCTGTTCCGATCCCCGCTGCCCAGAACAGGCCAAAAATGGGGTGTACGGAGGCTGAAAATGGGATGCAGATGCCAAAAATGGGGCATGCAGGGGCGGCAATAGGCTATGCATCCTGAATCACCTGATGGTCAGGAGGCTGATCCAACCAACAATCAGCTGCTTCTGCTAATCAGGCTGTGCTGAAACTGAAACAGGCTGTTTGCTGCAAGGAGGCTAATTGCTGGGAGGTAAAGGCAGAGGCAGATTTTTTTTTCTTGTTTTGTTCCACAAAAGCTAGGTGCATCTTATACTTCGAAGTGTCTTATATTCTGAAAAATATAGTAGTCCCCTTATTTCTTCTTTCACATTCCTTCTTTTACAAGATTACCCTATCTTTAATACTTTTTCATAGGCCAGCATTTTCTATCCTTGCAATTCTGTTTTCACTCTAATTTTCTTTTCTTTTTTTCATCATATTCATTTTTTCTCAAAAGCCAGCCAGAGTTCAGAACCTTCCATCAGCCTTGTATCCCTCCATAATTCTCTCAGCTTTCAACAATCAACATGTTTTCAGATAAATTCATTTGCCATGTTTACACATTAATAGACCGTGGCTTAAGTCATGTATTTTAAATAAACGTAATTTTCCCTTAGCAAATAAATTCTATTCATTATTCTTTTTCATTTGAGCTTCCAAATCATTTCCCCTATACTTTTGTTTCATTCTCACTCATCAGTTTATAGAACCTTACAGAATACTTTCCCTCGCAACATGTTAATTCAGAATGTTGCAAAATAGTCAGATAAAATAAATTTAATATAAATGATTTAAAAGACAATGTAGACAATACTACCTCAAACACAGATAGAGTAGTTATAATAATGACACTAAATACAGCATGAAATCTCAATAATACAGAGTCAATTAGCCAACTACACCTCCCCTGTCATTTCAAGCCTAATTATTTTTCACTTTTAGAAGTAAGTGTTGTATTCCAATGGCTGTAAGAGCGTGGTTTAAACACAGTTCAGTTCACAGAAGAGTCCTTTTTTCTTTTAAATGGAAGGAGGACAGAAGAAGAGAAATTCAAATAGCTGATGCTATTGGAATTCTAGTGCGTGGCTTCATTGCATCTATTTTATATGTACATAAAATTTAAATGAACTACCATGAAAATAAAAAACGTTTGCAATTTCCAGTTGTGTAGTTATGTAACTTTTAAATTTAAATTTTCTTTGTATTGGTATAATTCATTCTTGCTATAAAAACTGAATTGAAATTGAACCTAGTTGATGGAATATTTTTTATTTTTATGGAATTCCAGTATTCCAAATATTGCTGTCAAATGTGAAGCTTCCATAGATATTCAGTGTTCACCTTGAAGATGCAACTTTATTAGTGACTTTGTAATATTATTTGCTTCAACCCCTCACTTTCTTTATTTCTACTTTAGATCTCATCAAGTACATCCCATTCAGGTCCTTCTGAATTAACGAAACAGTGTGGGACATCAGCATTGTTTCAGTTGGCAGAGGTAGTATTAAAATCCTGTGGCTTAATTACTACTGGTACATTTGGGAAATAGGAGCTGAATGATGCTGGTTGCCAAAGTCTAGGAAATAGAGCTCTAATACAGACATAATTAGCATCGTTGTTTATAGAAGCTTAAATTATTGTTCATGTCAAGAATCTAGATTTATCTTGTCTAACCATTAGGCATGTAGTCTCCGTAGTACCAAGGTTACAAACAGCTAGCTCAGGAAACAGTAGCCTACTGAGGTAGAGCATAATTGTAAAGTCCATACAGAATTTCTCTTAATTTTAAACATTTCATATTTTTAAAGGAAGAAGTTCATATAATGATGTATGAATAAATTGTATCACTCATCACTTTTATGGGCCTTGACCAGTTGCAGACTATAAAAGAGAAATCATGGAAACTATTTCTCATTCAGAGAGTGAGATTCTTAAATCCACCCAAACACTAAACTATAAGACATCCTTTTCCCACTATGTTCAGCCAAAGCAGTATGCCAAGGACACAATAGCTCTCTTGCTTCCACAGATGAGTGTCCTAAAGCTGTATCCAGCTACATGGTCTTTACCTCACCTTACATTCTCAAGCCTGTCCGTGTCTCAGAGGTAGTAGTTAATCAAGAATAAATTACTTTCTAAAGATACCTTCTTATTGTTTAAGTTATATACCTTGCCCTCTATCATTGTCTTTCTTCCACAGTTGGTGATTTATAATTCTTGATAAAGATAGCAAACAAATGGGGATAAATTCTTGTTTTTTTATGTTGAATTAATTCCCTCAAATTTGATCAGAAAGGGAAAAGAAAATAATTGTAAAGAACCTTCTTTGAGTGTTGCAATGTAAGATTTCAGGCACAGTCAAACGTGAACATCAATCTAGAATTCATTGAAACTGCATATAAATCTGTTTAGTACATGGCACATATTTATATATTTGCACCGAGAATCAACCAAGTGCCAATAAATTATATATATTTTTCAGGCATATTTTTATTGTTATTTTCATGTGTGCAACTTTTAAAAACAAAAAGTGAAGTAAAAGCAGCTTCAGGAATGATATACCAAGTTTCCAAGGGAAGGCAAACAAATAGCAGATGAATTTTAACATATTTTGAGTAATACATTGTAAAAACATTTGAGAGTATATAAAGCATTTAAACTATTATTCTTTTCTTTTTAAAACATCTTTAAGGGTAAGACCTTAATTGACTTGCTGTCCAAGAGGGTTCAGTTCTTTGTTAATGTTAATGAAATAAACACTGTTAATTAAGTACATGTCTGCGGTATCACATTCCATACAAATTTTATAATAGCGATTTTCTCTATGGGTAAATTCAATGCACTCAATTTGCAATAAAATACTGCATTTTGTAATAAAATATTGACAAGCAGGCTGGATCTTATGCAAGAAATTTACATATATATATAGCATACACATATACATTGTGTTCTTCTTAAGAAAAAGCAGTAATATGCAAAACACAAACATAATAAAATAATAATAATAAAGTAAAATAATTTAAAGACATGAGATCAAAATAAAAAGGAAACATAACTAAAACAAATACCATACACTTTATTTCTCCATACAAGTAATCTTTGACTTACAACAGTTTATTTAGTGACCATTCAAAGTTACAATGGCACTGAAAAAAGTGACCTATGTCCATTTTCCATACTTATGACCGTTGCAGCATTCCTCAAGTCACATGATCAAATTTCGGAAGGTTGGCAACTAACTGACTCATAGTTATGAGGGTTGCAGTGTCCAGGGTCAGGTGATCGCCTTTTGTGACTTTTTAACAAGCAAAGTCCACGGGGAAGCCAGATTCACTTAACAACTATTTTATTAATTTAACCACTGCTGTGATACACTTAACAACTGTGGCAGCCGAGGTTGTAAAATGTGACAAAAGTCACTTAACAAATGTCTTGCTTAGCAACAAAAATGTTGGGCTCAATTGTGGTTGTACATGGAGGACTGCCTGTACTTTCTAGCCTTATAAATTGCATGAGCTGACTTACGATATTTAAATTTCTTTACCTCTCCCTTTTTCTGAATATCATCAATTCCATATTTCTTAGTCCTTCCCATCCTCTGGAACTACTCATTCTTTATACATTTGATTCTCATTCATTCTGTCCACATGATCAAACTAAGATTATTTATTTATATTGTCAATTATGCTTTGTATTCACTCCCCTATATATTATGTCCTTAAAAGAAATATTGACACACTGTAGTTTTTTGGCATTCATATATAGCCTGTTATCATTCACTTCCATTGTTTTTAATTTATTTATTGAATTTATATTGCTGCCTATTTGCCCATGGTAACTCGAGGCGGCTTACAGAATGTAAAACCATATTTAAAATAAAAAACAATAAAAGCTAATAAAAAGAATCAAATAAATTAATAAAGTACAATAGAACAAAATCTGGGAAAAAGTAAATAAAAAATCACCTCCAACTCCCACCCCCCGGCCCCGACTACAGCAGATCACATGAGCCATTTGATGGGCTCCATCCCTCTCTCGGTTCCCCAGGCCCACTGGCAGAATTTTCCTTATTAAATACTGGAAACTTTTAGCTCAGTATTCATCATTATGTCAGATATGCAGCAATGTAAGCTTCTATGCCAGAAATGAAACCAGAGCCTAGTTTTAAATCAAGCATACTCAGTTGACTTAGCCTTCCATCCTTCCAAGGTCAGTAAAATGAGGACCCAGATGGTTGGGGGCAATATGCTGTAAACCACTTAGAGAGGGTGGTAAAGCACTGTGAAATAGTATATAAGTCTAAATGCTACTGCTACTGCTCACGTTATTCTATGGAGGACAGAATCTGTACAAAGACAGAATCTCCTAAGTCAGCATAATCCTTTTTACATCCCACCAACTTTGAGGCAAATGCAGCATGCTGACAAATTCAAACTGCAAGAAATTTATTAAATTAAGAATTTTATGCTTTTATAAAAGCATTTTTAATATGAAACTCTAAAAGAATGTCAGCAAAGCTATCACTGCCATTTTATTAGCTTTACACCAATAAATTATTTTCTCTAAAGAAAAAAGCCAATTCTTTCTCAGTCCATTATATAAAATCTTTTTCCTTTAAGATAGTATTATTTAGCGTCCATCTCGATCTTTTTTTTTTTGTCCCTTCCATTTAATTGTCATTGGGTTATGGTCTGCCCAAGTACTTGTTTCAATATTTGTTTCTTGAATCTTAGATATTAATTCTGTTGAGATCCAAATCATATCTAATCTGGACCATGATAAATGTCTATTTGAATAGAAAGTGTATTGTTTAGTTTTAGCATTTCTTTCTCTCCATATATCCTTTAAGGTTAATTCGTCTCTCATTTTAAAAAAGGATTTAGGGAGAATCTTTCTATTTTGCTTTGTTGTTGTTCCACAATTCCACTGAAGTCTCCCATCATAATTATATAGGCATAGTCCAGTCCAGTTATTTTCATTTACACCAATAAATTATTATTATGCCCTTGATATTATTTTCTTTGGAATTGTTTAAAAAGCAACAACTTTGTAGATGAAACTGAGTCTAAAACTGACACGTTGGATCAGTTCCTGAAGTATAGCTGTTATTTAAAATCTCTTAAGTAGGGTTCCATGTGTATACAGTACAGAAATTAAAAGGTACTATGCAAGTACTCTAGATTTGATTATTATTTTTTTGAGAACTCGTACAGCTTAATTGAAATTGAAATAAGCTGTGTTTTCACCATGCCTTTCAATGATTTTACTACCAGGTTGCTTGGAGTACATAACTGAATGTAATGTGTTTACCATTGTAGACAATTTATTAGTCTAATATATACTTGTTCCAAAGTATTTGTATACAATTTGTATATTCCCAGCTTTCAAAGAGTTCAGTGCAGTCACCATGAAGACACAAAATTGTTTTTGTTAGATGTATCTTCCATGGTATATAGTATAAGAAATATAGAATGCACTGCTACTAAAATGAGTATACCAATGCTATAGTAATTTGTAGAACTGTTATGCAATCTTTAAAATTCCATAATAAAGAAGAATTAATATTGGACTTTGTTTCAGATGTGCCTTGCATCAGAGGAAGTAAAAGTGAGAGAACCTGAGAAGGCAAAAACTGAAACAGCCAGGATTGTCAAAACACTGGAATCATCTGAACAGATGAAAGTTGAAGATTCAGAGAAAACAAAAGTAAAAACAGAAAAATCTCAGAAATTGAAGGGACAAGAACATGAAAAGGCAAAGACTGGAGTTTTCGAAGAGGTAACAAGGTGTAAACATATTTCAGATCCAGCTTTGAACAGCATTACATTAGTTGGACATGACAGTGCAACAGCAAAAGATCCTGCATGCTGTTCCCATGAGCTGACATCAGTAGCTGACATCAGCACTTTAGGATTAAACAAACCAGAAAAACTGAAGAAGAAAAAGAAGAAAAATAAACTGGACCGGCAAGGACTTGAAAAATGTACTCCTAAAAAGACTTGCAAAAAAAGGCAGTCTTCCGAATCAGATATTGAGAGTGTCATTTATACTATTGAAGCAGTTGCAAAAGGGGACTGGGGGACAGAGAGACTTACAGAAATGTCCCATAAGAAAATTCGCCTTTCTTCTGCAGTGAAAGGCAATATTTTGGACACAAAGTCACCAAAGAAGAAAGTAAAATCAAAAGAAAAAAGAGCACTGAAAGAAAAATGTTTAGAGACCACCAAAGAAGCAAAGCCGCCTGATTTTTTTAGTGTTAAAGATAACAAGGATGTACCATGTGAAGTATCTGAAAACACAATATCAGATATCCTAACCCCAGCAGAGGATATAATATCACGCAGTTTACCAGATCAAGTAAAAATTGAGGACAGTGACTGTAATAAAAAGGCAGAAATTTGTGGGTCGAGAAAATCTGAAAGAGCTTGCAAAGGTGCACTATACAAAACACTGGTGTCAGAAGGCATGCTTACATCTCTGCGTTCCAATGTTGACAGAGGTATTTAGCTTTTCATATGTCCATCTCAAAATTTTAAAACCCACAAAATTATAATGAATTGTGTTTTTATGTTTCATTATTCATATAATTCCTTCTAGTCTTTGACAATAAGTCTGCTTTCAGTGAGCTTATTTCTAGAATATGTGTCAGTAATAATAGCAAATGGCTGCATATCTTCTCTCCATGTTTTAAATTACTTATTTATAACACTTTTAACGTGCCATGTGGTTCAAATGCAATGCAAAGGCTTTTTCCAGATGGGACAAAAAGAAGAGGCTAGCAAGTTCAAACTAAGATCTATCGAACAAATGATAAGCCATATTTTCCAAAATATTCAATCACCTTGGTGATACTTAAAGCCTAACTTCAAGAATTGGTATTTTAGGTGCATTGTTGTACATCATAGGTTTTACAGCAACCTCTAAAGCCATTTTATGTCATTGATAATATTGGGGAGTCTATCCTAATCTTCCCCACATATTTTGAAATTTTGTTAGAATGTAGCTAACCTTCATACCATAATGAATAATTGGTACTTCGAAGGGCTGTTCTTAATTCATATCCCAAATCTTCCTTCCACATTTTTAGATCTTAATTAGAAAAAAATCTTTCATACCATGGCTGTACCCCTCAAAACATTTGCTCTTATACATTTGCCGTTAGATAAATGATTGCTCATTGAGGCTGAACATTGTACTAATAAAAAAGAAAAACCAGCACCTACAACCATTGTGCAAGATATATAGATCATATGCAAAAATCTTCTAAGAATGCATTTATTTCTTCATTGCTTATAGTTGTAGCTCACTTTTTTCCTGTGGATTCATAGGATTCCAAGGTAGTTTTTCACCCAGAGATTAATCAGCCCTCAGCTTCAAGCAAACTGGGATCTGAATAAATGCTATGGCATGAAAAGATTTTTACATCCAATTATAAACAGTACTAGTTTATCATTTTCAATACATAGAGAGGAGAGTGTCTAAGTTAATACTCATTTTCCCTTTGTATATTTGTTTATGTGAGTCTCTTTGGAGCTCTTAGGAATATGTGCGGGGGGGGGGGGTGGATTTAAACATACATTTCCATTTTTAGCCTTAAGGATAGTAGCTGTCTGGTTGCTTAGTAAAACTTTATATGAAGGCTGTAAAATGCTAACAATATGAATTATTAAACAATGATTGCTATGGATGTATTTGTTATTTAAGCAGATTATTTTCCTCTTTCATTTCTTAATTCTAGGTTCATACTTACTAATTAACATTAAATTATACTACTTATATCAATTAATGGGGACTTGCTCAGAAATTGCCATATTAAATGATGATGTAATGCTTTTGTGAGTCCTAGGATAGTCTCTGATGAATACCTAGTGAGATGAATCAGTCATCCTACTTAGCAAAAAAGCAGTAATTTATGTTTCTAGTGTGTCTCTGTTACAAAGTTTCCCAGTAATTTCCATGCAATTTTTCTTTTTCCTACTCACTTTCTTAGGAAAACGAAGCTCAGGAAAAGGTGGCAACTCTGATCAGGAAGGATGCTGGAATGAAGAGACTTGGGCATTTTCCTTAAGTGGGGCAAGTGGGAACAAAAAGTTAAAAAGAAGTAAGCCAAAGGAAGACGTTGTTTTGGGGTAAGTGATATAATAAGTATGTAAGGGTACAAGTTACTTTCCAAATAGTTTGGTAATCATTATAAATGAAATATTTTGTTAAACAGATATCTTGTTCACTTTTTGTCACTTTTGTCAGTTTCTTTTTCAACTTCAAAAGGGGATATACGAATAGTAACAAACAAGGGTATAAACACACATAAACGCATGCATGAATGCATACATACATCCACCAATTGGTTCTTTAGCTTAGATTACATGTTGAATTTTGAATATTACACAATAAGCACAACAGTTACTGAGAAATGTACTTATATTGTCAAAGTTACATGTGAAAGACCTTTAGGAAAATCAGCCTATACTATCTGGATCATGATTTCTTTGATTTGCAAATTTTAGATTTGCAAAAATGATGTACAAAATTTAGATTTGAAGTCAAGTCAAACTATAGTGAACTGTTTTCAGTTATGTACATGTATACCCTATATACTCATGGATAAGTCAAGAATGTTATATCCCCAAAACTGTTTCACTTATCCCAATGGGCTTATCTGCAAATAATACTTTTTAAAAATACCCGTATTGACTCACAGATAAGCTGATCCTTTATTTTTTAACTAAAATACATGAAATGATTATAATAATTATTTGATTTATCACAAATTAAAATTTAAAAAATTGAGGCTAATCCAAGGTACCTTTTCCATGGCATTTTGATTAAAAATTCAAGGATCAAGTTATCTGCAAATGGGTTTATCTGCAAGTTTATATGGTACTTTAAAAGTGCAAGACATGAAAAATCATTTGTGTGCAGCCTATACATGCAAAACTGCCCTGTACAGGAGCAAATCATAATATTGTTTGATGAATACGTCACCTCATTGATTACCTATACATGGCTAAGAGAATACAGCCATACTGACCCTGCTAGATCTTTTGGTCACCTTTTATACTATTAAAATTGTATGCTTCGATGAGAGCTGGGAATTGCTCTTCTTTAATGGTTCTGCTTTTTCATGAGTGGATAGGGCCAGACTGTAGGAAAGAGAATTCAGGTTCTAGAAGATTCCAGCACTTGGGTCCTGAGGCTAGACCATTTCCCCTATTTTATTCAATATCTTAATAGTATCTTAAAAACTACATTAGTTTAATCTGTTTGGTTTTCTGTTTTCACATCTTTAGCTTAGCAAAACTTGAAGAAGAATTTGAGAAAAAGTTCAACAGCCTTCCTCAATACAGTCCCATTACATTTGATCGTAAAAATGCCTCTCTACCAAGAAAAAAGAAGAAAGTTGGCAGTTATGCTGTAGACCAAACAAAATCTAACAAAGGTAAGCACTTACAGCAATGCAAACACACTTGAAGCCACATTTTTAGATCAGAAGTGCTATTCTTTATTTATGCATGAAGATAAATGAAGGAATGTCAGAATTTTTGCATTCTTTTCCTATTTTTCCACTGACATTTCAGAGGGCTAGAAAAGACAAATCTAGAATCCAGGGCTGTTTTGTGTAATATATTTATGTTTTATAATTCATTACTGATACTTTTCAGAAAAACAGTTTGGTGGAGTGGTTAAAGTATCAGGCTAGAAACCAGGAGACTCTTAAGTTCTAGTCCTGTCTTGGGCATGAAGCAATGGGGTAACCTTGGGCCAGTCACTTTCTCTCAACCCTAGGAAAAAGGCAATGGCCAATGGAAAAAAAAACATGCCAAGAAAACTGCAGCCTCCAAGAATGGGACATAATTTAACATCAGGGGAAAAAAGTTTCTGCTCTTTAAATCCTAAAGTTGGGACCTTAAAAAAGCCTATTAGGAGTCCTTGAATCTTCATCTCTCTTTTGTGTTTTTATTTGTGTGTGTGAAGCATTAGCCAATTAGGACATATGAGGATTCATGAAATAACACTATACAGTGTTAGCCCTGTGAAATATAATCTAGCAAAAGTTAATCAAGATTGCACATGATACCTGTAGAACTAGAGATTCATCCACCCCAGAGATCAGTAATGCTGCTGAGTCAAAGCTTTCCTACCAATCAGTTAGAAGTTATATTTGTTCACTCCTTTTCTCATACAGATTGTAAACAAATTGGTTAACTAAGCTATTTTTAATGTTGCTTCAGTATTAAATACATTGCTTCATATGATATTTAATATGTTACAATACTTTACTGTTGCCAAGCGATGTCACTGCAGCTAAATTACTTCTATTATTACTCATAAATGAGCTTTTTTCTCTACAAGTATAATTGAAAGCATTCTTCTCAGGGAGGAAACCAGTTATTTAATGTTACTTAAGTAGAGATACCCATAAGAAAAATACTGAAAATAAAACAAATTAGTAAATAATTCAACTTGAAGAATTCTAATACAGTGGCTTGTGTGAAAACAATCCAATTTAGTTAAGGTTAAGTTACTTTATTTGCTTTTTATGGGATGAAACAGTGAATCAACATTTGAAATATTGTTCCTATGAGTCTTTGTCTTACAACCACTCTTGGAATCAGAATTTCCATTGCTAAGCACTATGATTGTTCACTGAGTCATGCCCGATTTTATGACTTTTTGTTGCTAAGCAAATCACCGCAGTTATTACACTAATCACATGGTAAGTGAATCTGACTTTCTCCATTGAATTTCCCTGTCAGATGCCTTCTCACACATTACCAGTGGGAGGACCAGTTATAAGTCACTTTTTTAGTGTCATCAAAACTTTGAATGTCATTAAACAAACGGTCATAAATAGAGGAGTACCTATAATTTTAAAAATATATCAAAAGTGTTATAGAATAATAGCATTGCTAATAATGTGTTCATTGCTGTCCAGTTCCAGTGTGCAGATAAAAACTTTGAATGAAATAACTAAATACTGTAGTGACTCTTTTAAGTCTTATTGAAACTACAGTAGATAGATTTTTCCTTAGCTTCTTCCATTTATTTAGAATTTTTTACAAGATCTGTATAGAATATTTTCCTAACAGTCAAGTAGCTTCTCCATTGCAACCTAATTCTAGCACCAATGAGGTGTTAGGGAAAAATAACAGCTCTAACGTTCTTCTAAATATTCCAGAGTCTGTGGTAATACAAGAACCTTTGGTTGGAAGTCAGAAGAGAAAAGCAAGGAAAACCAAGATCACACATCTTGTCCGGACAGCAGATGGTCGAGTTTCACCAGCAGGGCAAGGTCTGGGTAAGTACTAGTATATGACTGATTTTCTTTGGCTACTACTACAAATTCATTCATTACTCAAATTTCTCTGTGAGTTCCAGGAATCATAGAAACACAAAAGAAAACGCAAAAATGTAGATTTGCAAGCTATTAGTTGTTTAAAAAGCCTGGTACAAGTGAATATATATTGTGTTATTAGTGTTACACAGTTTCAGAATGAAGTGTTGTGTAAAGAATTTAAAAAAATCACATATACTTAAGAAAGAACTTGAAAACAATGCCCATGACCATTCCTAATTTGCCCCAATTTTTTTTATCAAAATGTCCAGATTTCTGGTACAAAGATTTCTTGAATTATAATTTTTGGGATTGTGTCAGTATTTTAAAAGTCTAAAAAGAAATGAACCTATCCTGAATTAATCTAAGTTCATTGAATTTATACCTAATTACTCGATCAATGTACATCAAGAAAACTATAAAACTCGATCAATGTACATCAAGAAAACTATACATAATGAATCATGTAATATTTTATGTCTTGTGACTAGATAGTATAACTACTTAGCATAGAGTGGGTTCATCTTGTAGCAACTATATGAACAAATGCCCGCTATGGTTCCCTTCCTTCAGTAATAAAATCAATCCAAGGACATTTTGGTAATCTCTTTGATCTCCTTCATCCAACATATCTATTGTTTTCCTCTTATATTTACCTCAATCTTACCAGGCATAATCATTCTTTTCTAACCCATCATATACTTGTGTTGCATGCACAACATTTAGTAAGTGCTGCCAGTTATCCCAGAGTGATATTGGAAGGGGCTTGCCTTGGTGAGTAGTAAGGAAGAGAGGCAACTGTTATGTTTTCACACTTGTCAAATGTTCTGGCAATGCCAGAAGGGAAGCATTCCTGACTTCCTCACAACCACATTAAGAATTTACAACCACAGTTTACCTGTATAGGATACTGTCCTCCATCGGCCTTGTTGGCAAGCATCCCTGACCAAAACTTCTCCCAGACCGAGTATCTCCATTGGAAACAATGCTAAATCCACCCAGCTTCAGAAGTATTTCAGCCAGCACTAGCAAAGAAAGATGAGAGCAGCTTTCTCTTCCTCAGCACTGACCTGAAGCAGTTGAAAGAAAATTGATAGAGCGATTCACACTGCCTTCATGGCCCAAATTCCTTTTTTAAAATAAATTTAGCTCATTTCAAACATCAATACTTTATTTCCTAGCACTCTGCCCATACTTATCTATCACTGAATCGCAGAAATAAAACTTGTCTACTAACTTGATTTCTTCATTGTCACTTCTACATTAAATAAACATACTTTGCCTTCATATTACGTTGGATTATTTTTTACTTTTCATTTATATATTCATATTAAGCTTTGACTTTTAGGGTAGGATGGCAGACTAAGCATGACTTTGCTTTTTGTGGAACTAATGAATGTGGTCAAATAGGACCCCGTGAAGGGATTAGCTCCTCAGAACTCTTCTCTGGACTAAGAAAACAAGGATCACCAATGTTGACCCCTTCTGAAGAGGTTGCAAAACAGCATTTTCCAGCGGATTTGAGAGGTCTGGGGGACTCAGCATCTTTTAAAGAGGCACTATGTTTGCCTACTTCCTGTCTTAATTACTTTAGGACTCTTATTGTTGATTTCTATGGAGCTAATATCCTTCCAAAAGACAAGTTGTATTACAAGAAAATGTCCTGAAATATACAAATTGTATAACGAAGGAATGGTTAGAACAGAGGAAAGTTAATATTTTGGAATGGTCAAAATCCTGATCATAATCCTATAGAAAACTTGTAGAAGGGTCTGAAGTAAGCTGTTCAAGCAAGGAAGCCTACTAACAACAACATCCCTGAATTGAAGCTGTTTTATAAAGAGGAATGGACTAAAATTCTTCCAAGCCAATGTGCAAGAGTGAGAAAACAGTTATTGGAAATGTTTAGTGCAGTTGTTGATGCCCAGGCAGGGTGAAAGCGAAGACTCACAAACTTTTACCACTTTCTTTGGGATATCTTGAACATTTTTTTCTAGTAGCTAGTTGCATCATTTCCTTCTGGAATGTTTTTCTACTTAAGTTTGCAGTGTCTCTTTAGTTCTGCGAGGGTTCTATTTTTCATAAGATAGGCATACTAAATTAGTTCCTTGCATTATTTTATACACGTATTATATTAACTACTTGCTTTAATACTTTCAATTTGACATGGATGATGCACCCGTTACAATTGGCCATAGAGTTCCTCAGTATTTTCCACCATTGTATCTATACTTATCCATTATCTTGTACAAGATTAATATTTTTGTACTTCCCTTGATTCTAATGCTGTATTTATGATTCTGTCTTTTATTGGATGCATTGTTCTTTTCAGTATTTTTGTTGCTTCATACTTCATTTTGGTTTATGGTATATCTAATAGTCATCTGAACTAATGTGGCCAGTGCTAGTCCACTTAAATTTATATTTCAAAAGTATATGTTTCACTTTTCTTATAATAATGCTGAAATGGCTTAGCAAAAGAATAAAGTACCACATTAAGACTTGTTTAAAATGTGGTACAATGCACACAATTTAAAACATTTTGTAATATACTAAAGACTATAGAAAGTAGCACAATCTCAAGGTAAGCATTAGAAGAACAGAAGTTCTCCTATATTTTCTTCAATGGACAGTGAATGGCGAATTGATTGGCTGGATTTGTTTTTATGTTGTATGTCTCCATATTGGTTTGATTATAAAGAAGAAAACCCCCCGAATAAGGCTTTATTTTTTTCATCTCAGTGTAAAGAAGATTGGATTCTGTTAAAACAACATTTGCTATTTTGCTTCTTTTTAGAAGAGAAACCAAAAGGGCAACTGCAGAATACTCTACAGAGAACATTAAATACAGGGATGGAATGCAGTAAGGAATCCTTGCTAAACAATGATCTGGCAGAAAATCATAGTATGACATCAGACATGCCATCTGTATCTGCATTCTTCAGTCTAGCTGCCTTAGCAGAGGTAGCGGCAATGGAAAATGTGCACAGGTAAGTACTAGTTAAAAGAAACTTTAACCTTTTTATATCTGTAGTTGTGCCTAAAATTAGGCACTCAGACCAAGATATATTTACTTGACTCTCATGAAGCATTTTAGCTAGACATTCCATATATACAGACATCATTTGGTAACTATGATATCATTAATTTTTTTACCATCTTGTTCCCATAAGGGGAAAATATCTCTCTCTTTACCGTGCTACAGCACTTGCAATTCTTAAAAGCCAGTCTGTGCACCTAGGAACGACCTGGAATGTAGAGTGCAGTGGGAAGGTGACATTTTCTTGCACTAATTGCCTTGTCCAATAGTTTGATTGCATATATTATTTTCTATGAACATTGATATAATAGAATGATGTGGGTGTGCATTGTTAAGTCATATTAGTTTAAACTCACACCCACCCTTTTTCAAAAAAAAAATGTAGAATTTGCAAAATTTTACCTGTTTTCAGCACCAAAATATTGAAATGAAAGTTTATGTCTATGCCTATTTAAATGTTATGGTGATACATATGTTTGCATACATAAATGTACATTTTCAGAAACTGATTTTGTACCTTTTTTTGTTTACCACAAAAGGGTTTTTTTTAAAAAAACAGTACAATATTGTGTATCCTTTAATCACAAAGATAGCATTTTGAAATGTGATTTGTGTGTCAGTAATACAATTATTGAACTTAGAGCATCAATTTAATTTCAGTTAGTGTTTTCTCATATACTGAGAAGGAGTGACAGAGGTGATAAAAAAGTGTTCTACTGGCTGTGCTAATAGGTCAGCCAAAGCAACACCTTTGTGTCAACAAAATCATTCAGCACTTTTGTTTTATTCTTATTTTTGCTAGTTTTTAACCTCCTTTTTGCATTAAACATTGGAGCATTATTTCATTGCATTTTAATTTTCACCAGAATGGAATTTTGAACAAATGTTTGGGAAATGATTATAATGATATTCAAAATGCAAACCTTATTTCCCATGCCAATGGAAATAAGAATGACTGTAAAGTATTTGACCACTATATTTGTGTTAAGAATTGTGTTAATGGGGTTCCTGAAACCCAATGTGTATATATTCAAGATTTTCTGTTTTAAATTTAGAATTTGGCTTAAATTCAATTCCCATTTTAAAGGGGGAATCAAAAGATGAAAAAATAAGATCAAAGTTATGAAAATGGCTTCTTAAAAGTATGCCAGCTTTTACAAAGATTTGGTGCCTTCCCAAAGTATAGGATTAGCATACTCTTTCTACTTTCTTACAACTATATATGGATGTGTATATATAAATTCCCAAATCTATTCCAAAAGAAATGCAAATCTTTCTCTGTTTACCACAGTAAGCAAATTGAGAATACAAAATATTCTTCCAAAAGATTTTATCTGCCAAGCATATGTATTTGCCAATTTCTGAAAGTTTTGTCCTGGAGACATTACATGTCTGATTAGAACAATGGCAGACATCTTCTGGAATGAACTAAACACCAGGGACTCCCAGAGCATGTTAGCACCCAAGGCCAGACAGAAATTAAGACTCTGTCAGGAAACAGGTTCCAATACACAAGAACACAAGATACTTTAATGTAGAAAGCAAGTTCTGAATTTATGTTTTAGAGCATTTATTCAGTAGAGATGACATAGAGTTTCTGTGTTACATTTTAGTATCCTAATACTTGGAATTTAATGTAGAAGATGAGGATTTCCCTGAAAATACTTCACAAAAACTTAATTGCCTATGTAGGACCAGTTCATGTGAAATATGAGGAAAGAAATAGAAGTGTTGAGTATTGTTAGAACAATAAACAAAATTGTGCACAGTGATTTCTCAGTTTATCTTTCTCTAGAATACATGAGCGTGAGTGACACAAATAAGTTACGGTTTTTAGTTGGACAGATATTTTTGGTTCTCTGGAAAATTATTATTAAAAACCCCTAAGGCTCAAGAGTTTCATATGCATGGGCCTTGTGATATATGGGTGAGACACTATGTTAGAAATTTGAACCAGGCCACCCCACAATGGTTAGGTTTCATTGAAACTATTGCTAAGGAAACTTAATTGTAATAAAGCTTACTCTCCTGGCTACCATTATGACATTATTCCTGTATTATTCTTTACAATATTATATGCACATATCAGACATTTTCAAATTGCAGTAGCAGCTTTCCAACAAAAGGAGAAGGAAAACAGAAAGAGTATTGTGAAAAGTATTCTGTATAACTATATTGGAAAAAAAGATTTAAATAAGCATGCAAGGAAAGTAATCTAACACCCTCCTTGTGTGATTGGAATACATTTATGAATAGTGGAGGGAAGATTGTAGTAGGATTCTGTACAATATTTAGCAGCCAGCATACCTCTTTCCTTTTCTCAAGATTGGAAACGCCCAGGAAAAGAATTCAGCAATTGTTCAAGGGATTCTACGATCTGTAGGAGAGCTTCAGCTTTTAGAAAATAAAACACTTTATATATTCAACCTTTGAAAAATTAAAAAAAAACTTGTTGTTTTTATAAAGGCAATTATGTAAGAATTAAGAACAGGAAATTTCTAACTACAGTGGAGTAAATTGGCCTTGATTTTCATATAGCAAAAACTGTTCCTGATAACTTGCCCAAGCAGTTCAGCTTCCTGATTTAAAAAAAGCAGCACTCTGAGAGTTCTGTTGTTACTGAACTTTTAGGGAAACCGTTTGAAAGAGGAAATAAAAGCTAAGGAGCTGTTTTCCAAATACTGCTTCTAGTTGTCTGTATTCTATGTAAGCTGTACATTGTAAGAAAAATCTCAGATGTATTGTCTAATACATTCACTATTGAAGTGCCTTTTCTGTTCTTTCCCTTCTACTAGTGTAATCACTTCCTTGATGCATTATTATCACTAAACTGAGGAGTGGGTTTATTAATATGATTAGTAGGAGCTAGTGTGGATGTAATATAAATGTGAAGGCAGATCTCCAGTGGTAGAAGCCCTCTTTCTTACTTCCCAGTATGTTAACAGTATTTCATCTGAACATTGTAGTTATTATTTTTTACTAAGAGATTGTCTTCTTTTCTTCAACAAAGCATCTATAACTCAAAAGTTGTAACATTTTAACAGGTTTACTTTACTCTTACTAGATGATTTAATTGGCACTTTGAATATAATTGATTATACAGTGACATCTTACTATAACATATTAATTGGAAGAAAAATTGTTGAATCTAAGAGTAGGGCATTGTATATATTTAATCATTTGTGTGATGATCTAATTACAGAAATGGCACAAATTACATCATTTGTGTAATTTACAATTTACATAATATGCAAATATTTTTCATCATCACAAAAAATGGCATAAATCACTGTCAAAATTTAGTCTGCTGCATATAAAAATTCATTGTATCAAACTCCAGTAAAACAAGCTTTTGCTATATTTTATGTTCAGGGTTTTAAAAAATGGTATGTTTTCTAAGTTAACATTACATCTATTCTTCCTTTGTAGGAATCAGAGAACAGCCCCTCTTCCCTGTGATGGACAGCCAAAAGAAATGTCTCAGGCTCCAGTGCTTATTTCCTGTGCTGACCAGTGAAGCTCTACCCTTTTGTAAAACATTGTGCTTTACCTAATATTCTAGCCTTGTCTTTACCAATGGATGGTAGTCAGTCCATGTGATGGAGGAACTCATAGACTGAAAATGAGTGGTTCATGTTCAGTGTGGCACAGATTTCACTTGTAGCTTGATCCAGGTCCCTTTAGCTTGAGCCTAAAATGTACTATGAGAGTGATATTATTTTTCTCTTATGGAACAGAAATGAAATATCCTGGAGCTTTGCTTTCTAGTGAAGGTTTTTAAAGTGGTAAATTCAGTTACATGAAGAAGGCAAACTTTACTGTAGCTCACACAGCACCTGTTCTGTCAAAAGTAGTTCTTATGAAGTCTAGCTACTTTAAACAAAAGTACAGCGAAAGAAAAGAGAAAAGAAAGAAAGAAAAGAAAGAAAGAAAAGAAAAAGAACTGATACACTGCACTAGTTACTAGATAATCTTAGTCCTTTTTACATGAACATTTTAAGTTCTCGGGTGGTTTATATAATAGGTTATGCCTACATTTATATTTAAAAGTGAATTTAACCTGTTTGTAGACTCCAAGAACGCATGGGAGGTGTACTGTTGTTTGAGGTCTATGTGCGGCCATGCGGCCAAGAAGTTCTGCACTTTTCTGAATTTGCCTCCAGGGTGATAGAATTTTTGGCAAAAAAATATTGACAGGCTTTAATGTGCTTTTTTTAAATTAAGCATAGAATAATGAAGATTTACATTTAAAGCAAAGGTCTGGCATACAGATAAGAGCAGTGATTACAGATTACTGGTTTGAATTTCAAGCCTTGAAAATTTCATTTATTTTTGGACAGAAATTCAGAATGACAAAGTTTAAAGCAGTGAAATGGGGAAATACTATTAATATATTGTTCAGAAGTGACCTTAGTACTACTTCAACTCCTTTGGGGAAAAATCTTTTCAGTTGACATATACACTGATGAATATATTTTACATTTTATGAACACTGGAATTGTCATAAATACTATGCACAGTCTGAATTGGCTTCATCAGTTTATGAAGTGCCAGTGGTAGTTTGGGATGGTAAAGTGCTGAGTATAGTATAAGTAGATGATGACTGAAGAATAATGTTACAGAATTTAGGCCATCAAACAGACCATTTTTCAATTTGTGTTATCTTTATTCTGTGTTGCATCCCCTTTCTCCATCTCTACATCTCTTGCCAGAGTAGGTTCCAGAGTTTATATAATTATTATTATTTTATGGCATTTCTTAATTACTTTATATATGCCAGTTTGCTGTCATTCAACACAACATACAGCAGCATCTATACAGATTCCTTTTTAAAAAAGACACCCTAAATTGGCTGCATGATATGAAATAATTGATAGATAGTACTTTAATTTTTGTCCAAGGTCCCAAGTACAGTAATTCTGCTGTAACATCAAGTAGGAGAATTTGGCATCTGTGTACACAATTTTCCATCTGTCTAGGGATGCACAAATGGAAGTCTCCTTCCACATGTATACAGACCCTGACTGGATCAGGGCAACAATATTCCTAGCAGCAACATTTTATTTTTCATACAAATTTGACAGGAAATTTACACATTAATACAGGGTACTTCTTCCACAGCACAAGAAATTTCCCTATTTTGATTTGCATCATAGCACAAAGATTTAACCAAATGCTATTGATCAGACCCCAGCAATAATTTTCTATGAGTCTTGTCTCTGGTGGAATTTTGTGGTATTGTTTAGTTCAGTGAGACCCTTTTATATTAATTAGGTCTCTCTATGAGCGTTTTCACAGTGTTATCAGGCCTTCTTCATTTGTATGTGACAAAATTTAGAGAATATGGGGTTTTTTCCCCCCCTTTTTTTGTAATTGGATTTAACAGCCATACAAAAAGTGACTCTTAAAATTTGCTTGGCTTAGCCTTTTATTATTCTAATCAGTGCATGTCTTTTCAGGGTCTGAACCAGGAACAACAAGCAGATCGTATGCTTTGTAATAATTGATAACAAAAATTGTCACTTATGTAAAAAGAAGGAAAACTCAAAGTTACAAATATTAAAGAAAAAGGAGAATAAAAAACAGTTTCAACAGGCATGAGAAAACAAAAACTTTTAGAAAATTCAGGTAGAAGAAACTTCCACATGCTGCTGTAACATGTGGAGCTATTTTAATAGTTCAATTTTGTTAATGTTTTCTAAATTATTTTAACAAAATAGAATGCTGCCATCATGCCATACCGTTGAGCATATATTGTGGTAGCTAAAGGAATATATGACCATGTACTAGCTATGGCTCAAATATGTTAGTAGCTGAAATCCAAATATCTTACTCTTCATCTTTACAGTGGGTACTAACATACACATTCTATTGAATCCATTAGAATAACTACATTTTGCAAAAGTACATCATCTATATTTCATTTTAAATTTCTATTTGGTTCCTAAAATATTTCTTTGTATGAATGGTACCTTTATAAAAATGTGGAAAATTAGCTTTTTCTAAGTAAATTAATACCTTGATTACCTTTCTTTCCAAAACTTTGTTGACTATCCCTAAGATAAGGGACTGAATATGGGTCAATTTACTGAACATGAGTGTTTTCTGATGCTAATAAACTTTTCTGTAGATATGCTTAATTTTTAAGCGATTAGGCACCAAGAGTAGCAGAAATCCTGCAAAGCTTTATAGTTCGTTAGGAGCACAACACCACTTGGAAGATTCTCTGCAGCATCCACATTGGAATGTAGGTATTGCACAGCTTCCATTCATTCCAGCGGGGGTTCTGCAAAAGAATAGCCAGATAAATTGTGCCCTATGATTCCTTTCTTTTGTTGTTGAATGACGTCTTAATTTTAGAGACTTGCTGAATTTATTAGAATGGGGATCCCTGATTTCAGAAAGAAAGAGCATTTGTTAGCACAAAAAAATGCAAAACCAACAATGTATTGTTAAATTGCTGTTTTATTTTTTATTGATTTGTGTGTTTTTTTTAAAGAAATTTCATTTCTGTGATACGTATTTTCATATATCAGCAATGTCACTATCAAACTTATGTCCATGAATTCATTTTGAGCAAGAAATGTTGCACCTTAACTATTTCAAAAAACCAAAATATTATGTTCTCTACTGTTTATTCCAGAATGTTGTATTATAGTTTATCAAACCCATTCTAATTTAGCAAAGTTATCAGTATTTATGCATTTAACAATATCCTCTAGGTCTAAACCTGTATATGTGTTTTTTTTCTTTTACAAACAAAATTTAAATAAGATAAACAACATATTCTACTCTCCTCTGTGTTCTCTTTCTGAAGATGAGATATTTTCTAAATATAAAATTTAGCACTGCCCAGTTTTCTTTATGGTAGTTTATTTATTTAGTGATTTTTGATTTCACCTACTTCTGAGATATACACATAGTAGCTGATATTGCAAGCATAGATTCAGCTGGGAGGATACTGTAATGTCATTTTCATGTAATTGTGTTAGTACTGTATTAGAAGGTGGGATGGGAAATGAGTTCTGCAAAGTATTTAATATGTGCATTAGATTTTGATTCTCCTGTTAGGGTGTTTTCCAGATTCAAGACCAAAACTAATGTAAAATCTTGTGGAGCTTATATCATGCTGTTGTACTTAATGACAGTATTTTTCTCTGGATTGTACTGTGATGCCAGAAATAGGATATATTTATTTACAAAGATATAGTGTGCTTTTTACTAATACAATATCTAAAAGTTACAAGCAAAGCAGTTCTTTTTTTTTCTCACCTGCAATTCAATCTGTGTCATACAAAGCAAACTAAAATATTGTGAATTTCACTATTTTTTCCTAGATAACCTCTATTGCATAAATGTAGCTGCTAATCACTTATCATTTGTTGACTCTACATATTCACTTGCAAACTCAGAAGAGTTGGATAGTGGGACATCACAAGGATAACATAAATGGGATGAGTAAAGTCTAATATATAAAAAAGAGATATACCCCTGAGGAACAGTTCAGTCAGCTTTTAAAACACATATACAGTCATTACAACTTTATCTCCATATAGTGCTTAGTACTTCCCAATAGGGGAAGGAACAGCATTTGTTGAATTTGTACATAAGGAAGGATGGGAATATCTGCAAACCTTCTACATTATCTGGTTTCAAGATGAGGCCAGAAGTGCACAGAACATTCACATTGATAGGCTTGGAATATTCCATGTGCACGGTAACTATTACTGAAGATCTGGAGATAGTGGCAGAATGAGGATAAAAATATAGCATGATGTCTGGAGTGAGGAACTGTGCAATAACTTACTTTTTCAGATTATACCCAGAAAACCTAATAGTTCCCTGAATAATGACTACAAAACTCAAAAATTGAGTTCTTGTAGGCAATTATCATTTGATTCTCAGTGATACATGTTTTTTAGTCATCAATGAGACTGGAAAAGCTCTGAACCTTAGTAAAAAGCTTGAATGCTTTGCAAGATCGATTCATGTTCAATGATTATATAAAATGTATGCTGAAAGAAACAGTTATGTGATGAGAGTTAATCAAAGCATAAGAATAGGGCATTAACATCACATGATTTCACTGGGGGGGGTGGCTTTTGTTTTTGAAGGAAAATTGTAGTAAAGTCTATAATGATAATTGAGTTTGCCTTGTACCAATGTATATTTATGCCTCTCAGCTGCACTGTATTCTACAACTAATTCTGATGCTACCTCTATTAAAACTATTTCAGTTGATTTCATTTATTTTCACAATTCCTCATGAAGTCTTTTTAAGTTAATAGATGACTACTTGGGACCACACACAAATACAGCAGTTTTCAGCAATGTAAATCTTTATGACCCACAATAATTCTATCATTGTAATATCCTTATGGCAGGTATTATAATTTTATATTATCATTAAATTTTGGTATACATTTTAAGTCCAAATTGTAAACATATATACATACAAATATATTGCACAAAACATTTGTACTAAATGTTTTTCATAGAAAGTTCTGAACAGTTTTGCTTTTTACATAATATACCTAAAATGTAAACACACAAAAAGCACACATGCATTCTTATACAAAAATATTTGTCATTGTACTATATAGTTTTCTTCTCATAGAAAACTGGGTCAGGCCATTAATATACAGAATTTCATAGGCATGAAATTATGTTAGGTTTTCTGTTGTCCTTTGCTGTGTCTCCAATATATAAAATACATTCCATGAGAACCATTATCCCATTCCCTTAAAAGTGATAGTAGTACAAAATGTATTACAGTAGATACCTTTTTATGTTACTAAATTCTAACTTTCAATTATCTGTTTTTGAAAACCAAAAATAGTTCATACAAGTACAATAAGTTCCCAATGCTGAAATCTTCTATTGTTTTATCACGCCATTTTTTCCTTAAGTTCTTCTGCTCCTGGTCTTGAGGCAATAACTGAAATGCTTTGATTTAGTAATATAGATGATTAATTGCAACAAAATATTCAGGTTGTTTATCTTTTGAATAAAAATATAAAACTGCCATAGTTCACAATGGACTGTCAACTATAGTGGTTAAGTATTTCTCAAACGTAAATTAATAGCTTTTCATCCTATAATTCCAAGGAATTGTTCCCCTATGAATATCTAAATTGTGTTTTAGTATCAGGTACCTATTGCCAGTTAACCTATCTTGGAAGATCAGATCTTTCAATTCATTTCAAATATCGGTTGCAGATCATATTTTCCAAATAAATATTTTATCAACCCTTTAAATGTTCCATATGTGGAGCTATTTTTTATATTATAATTTGCATCTGCTTTTCTTTGTAAACTAAAACCGAGCATTATCAAAAATGTTTTGCTAAAGAATTGTACTACATGGTCTGTTTAAACTGACTATAGGTAACCCCTGAAGTCTAAAACATTTAAATCTTTTACTCTGAGACTTTATTTACAGATGTGTACATTTCCTATTTAAAATGTGAACAGTTGTATTTTTACAAAATATCAGTGGTGTATAGGGGTTTGTGAAAGAGGAAGTATCTGCAATTATGTGGGGACGTCTAATATTCTATAATGAATGGCTGTATTCTTTGCTTAATAGGATTATCAGTCTGCTGGATATATATCACATTTGCCATACCTTTCTGTTGTTTGTCGTCTCTTAATCTGTGTGCCTGAAAAGAATTCCAATAGATCCTTTTCCATACTTGGATTATTTGTATGTATTTACTTTAAAAAAAAATTTTTGATGCAAAATGAAAAACTTAATGTCTCAAGTGTTTAGTTGTATTATATCTTTGTAGTTTTGTGTCATGCAGAAAAACTATAAATCTAACTCATTT